ACATTTTGAACTTACAACAATTTTAAAAAGGGGAGCTTTTTTGATAAATCTCATTTCTAAATATTTTGTTCCATCTAGCCCAAAACGTTTTTGACTATTCTAATAAGTCCCATACCTAGCAATTTGTCCAAAACACCCCTAGACATTTTTGAGCACTTATTTCCATTCAAAACGTCACAGCACAAAAACATAGAAGCAAATTGCAAAATATACGACAAGGCTTTTGGAAAACCTTCATTTCCATACCAGTTCTCATCGTCTCATCATTGAATCCTCCATCGCGATTCTCATCATCTCTGCATCCCACCGTTGTCACGTCGTTGTCGGCGATTGAAACCTTACTCCGAAGTGACAAATCAACTCTGTGAAAGTTTGCATCGACCAACTAGATGCGGACCAAATGTAAGCGCCCATATTTTTTCCTCTTTTGTTTGTATAATCATCGAATGATTATTTGGTTCAATATGAACTTTCACATGTGTTGTTTATATTATTATTGTTGTTTTTGTTGGTGTTAATATGAATCACCCATTTTGGACCATTTTCTCTTTCCAGAAAACAGAGTAAACGCCCGTATTTTTTCCTCTTTTGTTTGTATAATCATCGAATGATTATTTCGTTCAATGTGAACTTTCGCATGTGTTATTCATATTATTGTTGTTTTTTCAATTTTTCTGTTATTGTTGTTTTTGTTGGTGTTGATGTGAATCACCCATTTTGACCATTTATTTCTTTCCAAAAAATAGAGTAAGCCACCATATTTTTTCCTCTGTTGTTTGTATAATCATCGAATGATTATTTGGTTCAATGTGAACTTTCGCATGTGTTGTTCATATTATTGTTGTTGTTTTTTCAATTTTTCTGTGATTGTTGTTTTTTTTGGTGTTGATGTGAATCACCCATTTTGACCATTTATTTCTTTCCAGAAAATAGAGTAAGTCACTATATTTTTTCCTCTTTTGTTTGCATAATCATCCAATGATTATTTGGTTCAATGTAACTTTCGCATGTGTTGTTTATATTATTGTTATTATTTTTGCAATTTTTCTGTGATTGTTGTTTTTGTTGGTGTTGATGCTCAATTTTTTATGGTTGACAATCCTATTTTAGGTCAATGTGAATTATTGTATGCATGTTGTAAATAATAACATCTCATTGTTTCTCTTATTATTGAGTAACAACCAATGTGAACATTCACATTCTGATGGTAGCCATTTTATAAATTTACATTACGGTATTTGTTGTATCTCCCCCCTTATATCAATGTCAGACTTGTTGGTGTTGTTGGTTATTCATGGTGATCAAATAATTACAACCTTAATTTGGATGGTTGCCAACCCTTTTTTAGTTCAATGTGAATTCTTGTAAGCATGTTGCAAATAATAACATCTTATTGTTTCTCTTATTATTGAGTAATAATCAATGTGAACATTCACATTCTGAGATTAGCCATTTTATAAATTTACATTATGGTGTTTGTTGTGTTGTTTGTTGATTATCTGCTTTATTCTCAGTTTCGTAGTCTCAAATGTTTGTGTGAATATTCACATTGCTCAATGTGTTTTTTGTAGATATTGACACTATGCAAGTCAACTTGATTTTAACATAATGGTCTTGTTTTGCTATAATTGTGACTCAATTAGAGTTTTCTAAAGTTATGACATTATTCACAATATGACTCATGTATATGTTTGGTCATGGTCACATGGGTTTGGTCAATGTGGTTACGGGAATATTGATGCTAAGATAATATGCAAATGTTTCTTTTATGTTGTGAAATTTTGTTCGTGTCAATATGAGAAATCGACGTATATTTGTGCTGTCTTACTCCTATTTGTACCCTAGCAGTAATGTGAATATTCACATCTTTAATGATGTGAATGTTCACATTATTATGTTTGTCACCTAAATAGTACTTTGTTGCTTTTGCTTATATGAATATCGTTGAATATGAACATCCACACTAACTAATGATATGATGGTGTTAATATGCATGCCTACCCTACCAATTCATTGAAATCAAATTTAATGTTCATATAAACACTCACTATTTGTGCATGCATGTGTAATAGATGTTGCATTTAAATTTTGCACAAAGAGGAAGATGAAGAAGTATCATGTCAAAGAAGAGAGCATGCCTCTAGAGAGAAACACCCATATCGACACGTGACATGTCAATTATCAATCAAACATTACAGGCTTAGTAAAACTGATGACAAGCACCAAGTTCTGGGATCCTCGGCTAGACTATTTGAGGCCAACTCCGTTGTTCGATGGTTGGGGTTGTCCACCATATACTAGCTATACCAAAATACAGTGCTATTTTTTTTTTTTTTTTTTTTTTTTTTCTTTGATATCTTGTAATTGAAAACACTTGACAACATATATATAAGTCAATGATATACTTCTCACAGACCTATGTGTTTGATGGTATATTTGGTGTTGATGTGTTGTGTGTGCTAAACAATATAAACAGTGAACATTCACATCTGTTTTCTTATATTGAAATTTGTGTGAATGTTCACATCGTAATTTATGATCAATAAATATGAATGTTCAAATTATGTCCTATGTTTACTGTGATTGACTACAGATGTTAATATTCGCATTATACATTAATTACGTGTATGATCTATGCACAAATATATTAGAATTAATGTGAATCTTCACATCTATCTATTGCATTGTGAATATTCATATCATACTGTGGTTAATTACAGATTTTAATATTCACATTATACATTAATTAAGTGTACGACCCATGAACAAACATATTAGATGTTAATATTCACATTTTACATATGTAAGGTGCATGATTCATCCACAAATATATCAAAAAAAAGAATATTGACTACACACAATGACAGTTGACCGAACAATGTTCTAAACAATATGAAGTGTGAACATTCATATCTGATCTCTTATGTTGAAGTTGGTGTCAATGTTCACATCGTAATTATGTTGAGGCTCATTATCTATTACATTATGTTCTATGTTTATTATAGTTGATTACAGATGTAAATATTCACATTGTATTTACCATTCAATATTATATTGGTTTGTGAATAATATTAACACCAATTGATAACACAATAACAAAGTTTCAATTCAAATTAATGTGAATATTAATAAGGATTAATAATATGAACATTTACATTATTTTTATATAAGACACATTACCAATCTCAAAAAATCATTGCTACATTGAAATCCAATAACAAAAAATAAAAATCAATGACAATAACATAATCATAAATTCAAAAATCTCAATCTCTCAAAAAATAAAAAAACCATCACACAAATCCTCCTCTGTATCTTCATAATTTCCGTCTCCATCTTCATCATTATCACTATTATTAACACCTCTTATAATTCCACCATTACAGCAATCCAAATCAAAACAAACACTCCTCATCTCTTTACAAAGAAAGCCACATTACTGTATCAGAGACCTCATTCTTCACAATTCCAACACTTATTTCTTAAACTTCCAAACAATATGAAATGTGAACATTCACATTGATTGACAGAAAAACAAAAAATAATGGCAGCAATAGAACTATAAATCCAAAAAAAAGCCTCAATCTCTCTAAAAACAAAAAATTATCACCCATATCTTCATCTTCATCATATCACTATCATTAACAATCCATGTAATTTCATCATTCCACCAATCCAAATCAAATTAAACCCACCTTCGAAGAACAAGTATTCAAATCCATCTCATATTTTCCTTTGATTCAATCCAGTTGAATGTGGGTTTTAGTCAATCTACTGAACAAGTTTGTAAGCCATTACCCCTGTTTCTTTAAAAAGCCCAATGAGCCCTTGCCAAACCAACCCTCATTTTCTTAAGCCAAACACTTTTTTTTTTGGGGAAAAAAAAAAAAAAAAAAAAAAAAAAAAAAAAAAAAAAAAAAAAAAAAAAAAAAACAGAGCATAAACTCTGAATCGTCATCTTCTCTCCTACAGGAATGAAACTGTATCGCAACGAAACACTACCACGAACTATGTGTCGTCGTCTTTGCTCTTATAGGAACGAAATCCTACCACAACAAAAATAGAGAGAAACAGGTATATTATTTTGTATATAATATATATCAACATATAGGCATAAGGGTATAATAGTCTAATAAAAAATATAAATCAGGAAAAAAAGACCTTACGGAATAAAATTATAAACACATGGGACTAATTATATTATAATTTTTCTTTGTAGACTTATTAGGATAAAACGCCTCTAGATGAAATTTATCAATAAAAAACCCTATAAAAAGTCAGTTACTTTAATAAATAGTTTAAAAATTAATCATTTTTATAAATAATTTAATTTTTTTAATTCATAAAAAGAGGTTGGGAGATGGTGGAAGAGGGTTTTGCAAAGGTGGCTGACAAGAGGTAGCCTGTAGTTTGCAGTTGCAGAGGGAAGAGGAAGAGAGAAGGAATAGTATAGAAACGAAAAAAGGAGGGGTCACTTGGGTGATTTGTAATTTTCTACATTCATAGCCATTGTAAAGCAGGAAAAACAAATCAAAACAAGTAAATAAAATTGCACATTTCAAGCAAGACAATAAAACAAACTACCGAAGCACTTGTCCTACAAGGGTTTTCAACAGAAGAAACAAAAAGCGTCAAACATTGAACATGGAACATGGAACACAAATTCTGCAGAACTTGGTTGAAGCAATGCCCGAGCAAGAAAAGTGCAAAGAGTTGATCAATAACTCTGGTAAACTGAATTTAAGTCCCTCAGTACATTGTTGGCCTCGTAGGCTGTGTTCAAATCTTTTTCATGCACTCTTCCCTTTCTTTTTCATTTTTTCTCCTCAAATCCAGGATAAGTAGAGAACAAAACAACAATTTGATGCTGAGGATAAACTTAAACAGGTTTTGTGGGATAAGTTATAAGAGAGGAGGCAGAATTAAAATAAACACAAACTTCACAAGCTCCAGGGTGAAGATTTAGTGGTTGGTGTCAAAACAACCTAACTAAACACAGAGAGGTCAACAAGTTATTGTATATGCTCTTATGGGATTCAAATTCAGAAATGTAAACAAGCATTTTTCTCATGCAAATACTCTGAATCATTTTGCTTCTGCTCGTAACATCTTAACTCCTAAAATGCCATCAAACAAGCAGTCCCCATTTACAGGCCTTTTAATTGTTCCATGGGATTGAGCAAATATTACAGTTCTTCCAAACAAGTTGTATCTGTCATGATTCATGAATACAGCTTCTCAAGTCTGATGCAGTCATAACACTAACAGATACCTTCAAGCTACTGGACAATAAGTGAAACTGGAAATTTGCTAATCTAATGCTAGGCCTATTTGTGCAAGAACAAATTGTAGCCTATGGAAGAGACCTTGAAATATTAATGGAGAAGAAATGACAGTTACAGACCAAAATCTACTTCAGCACGCTTCAGCACAGATGTTACCCTTGAGAAAAATTCCGGTTCCTTGTCCTTTATATCTTCAAGTGTCCTCAACTCATGTTCATTAGCCTAAGTGAAAAAATAAAATAAAATGAAGACCATGTAACGCCAATTAGAAGTGCACAAAAAAAAAAAGAAAAAGAAAAGAAGAGAGAGAGAGAGAGAGAGAATATGTTTTACATATGACAAATCAAGTGGAACAATTTGTCAAGATTGAACTAATTGTGTCGTCAAAAACTTCTACACACACAAAGCGAGCTCATTTCCAAACTAAATAAAATATCCATTGAGCAACCAACCACCATGTAATGAAGTTTATCTATGTTAAGCATCAACTAATTTAGAAGCTACACATACAACAGTTAATGGTGGAATTCAAATTTAATAGAGATTAAGGTGGAATTTAGCAATTACTTTTTTGGTTGCTTTTTTAAATCTAAAAAAGCTAATGCGATTGGTAATTGCCAAAAAAGTTACTTTTTTGTTAGTGGAAATGTTTATTTTTTTACCCTTTTTAGTTACTTTTTTAGCTCAAGACAAACAGGCTTTTGCTTTGTTACTTGTTGCCAAAAACAGCTTTTTTCGCCCATGCCAGACGGAGCCTAAATTTGACAACACATTCAAAGGAAACAACAATAAAAACAAAAATCAAAACATTCCCTCTCTCTCTCTCTCTCTCTCTCTCACACACACACACACACACACTAGTTTTCCATAGGTTGTAGCTAAACAGTACATACAAATATAAGATCAAATGATTGCAATACCTCTTTAAATCTTAGAAGGATTAAATTTGAGATGGAAGCAGGCTTTGCACTATCCCACCTGTGAGGTTACCATGAACAACAGCAGAACAATATAAGAGAAATAGGACACAACTAACAATCTGAAAACATCCAACTTTCTAAAGACACATAGCTGTATGTGTCAGAAAAGAGTTAGATATTTGAGAACGCACTATGAGATAAAAATGAATATATAACTAATGTATCATATCACGCAACTATGACATTACACATGATGTTAGTTAATGTATCATATTAGATGACATTCAGAAATGTTAATGCATTAATGTTGCTCAAATGTATAGATCTTAATTAAAAATAGCTATTATCTAGGCAAGTTATACTGTTATAACCGAAACCAATCAATCAGAATAGTGGAAGACTAGAGACTAGACAGTCTAGACTTCCTTAATTGCAGCTGGTTTTGTTTGCCATGCATTCAAGAATAGATGATTTTGACAATTAGTCCTGGGTCCTGCATGTGTAAGTTGTACCAAGGAAAAAGGCAAGCCTAAACTAATGCACAAGACCAATGTGTTATTCACCAACTTCTTTACGATTTTTGTATTTTCAATCAGGCACCCACTTTCCTGGAGTCCCCACTTTTACCTCCAAATAGAGTGGAGGGCGACAACCTCCTACTACAACACAACGTCAAAAGAAGAATTCTAAAATAATAATTCAAGTCCCCAAGCATGAAATAATGTCATTCAAGGAAACTTTTTGAATGTCACCAAAATGTTCTCATATTGTATTCTTGTTATGTCTCCAAACAATTAATTTTGCTTTGCAGGCTTTTCGGAAGAATAAACTGGGATTGGCTTTTTAGAGAATTTTTTGTTTTTAGTTTACTTTTGTAAAAAATTTAGAAAGCTTTACACTTTTAGGTTCTACTCGACTAAACAGACCAAAAAAATAAAATAAAAATAATAACTGGAAATAATCCACTAAATATATATATATATATATATATTTTTGTAGTCTTTGGTGAACTTTTTTTGGATTTTTTCAACCAAAAAAAAAAAAAAATCCTTTTTAGATCCTTGTACATTAGATGGACCTGAAAAGAAAATTTGACACATTTGGAAGAGAAAAAAAATGTTCAGAAAAAAATGTGGAATTTTTAGGTTGATCCCAAACTCAGCTAATTCATAACATGATCAGTCCAAAAGCATTCCACAGAATCCATACCTAACAAGCATTAAGTCATTGATAGAACGCCACATTCCTCGCCCTACAGCTTTTGTAGATTGCTCTTTTGCACTTCCTCCATGCCACAATTCTTTTACAATATACATAACTTCTTCAACATCTACCTTAAAAGAGTGACCCAAACCAATGGGAAAAAATATACATATAATTAATACATAAAGATAAGCAAGATAAAGTATTCAATGCCAGAGTAAGAGATTACCAGAAAGCAATACATAAAGGATTTCAAGAAAAACAATGTACTGAAAGAAGAATTCAAAAAATTGGCAAGACCATTCCAGCCACAATTGTTTCTCTTATTTCCTCTAAGGAAGGAAAAGTCTAAATAGGTCTCCATTTCTTGCGAATACTTGCAAGATTCAAATATTTAGATGACAAAGTTTCCAAAAGCACCAAAAAGGGGTGCACTCAATTACATGCAAGTTATAAAAAAAACAAAACAGAGTTCCTACTTCTACTACAAAAAATAAAATAAATAAATAAATAAATAAAATCTGCAAACAGAGTTTTACAAAATCATACCATGACTAAAGGAATAGGCTTATTTTTCATATCACGCAACTAAACAAAAAGTTCACTCATCTAGGGGGTGTTTGGTAACGTTTATGATCATGCAACTAAACAAAAAGTTCACACAACAAGTTTTGCAATTGCAAAACAAAACTATTGCAAACTCTACCAAGGAGGTTTGCAAAAAAAGACGACGGCCATGGTCTATCTCTCTCTCTCCTCTCTATCTCTCTCCCTCTCTCTTTCATGGGTATATATGCCTTACCCTCACCTTCTCATGGTTGAAGAAGGGTCATCACCCTCCTCCCTACGCACTCCCCAATTGCAGATAGAATAGGGTGCAAATGGGGCCTATCATTAGGTTAATGATTAGCTATGTCAGAGTTTACTCTACTAGGCAAGTTTGCACATCACTAACATTTTGCAGGTGAGAATCAGGACGCTTAGGCTCTACATTGAAGTGTGGAGTTGTTTGGGTGTTTAACTCTTTTGCACTCTTGAACATAGAAACCCATACATATATGTATTTGTTTTTATCATGTTTTGTAATCTATGAGATACTTGGACACTGGGAATGCCTTATAGTAGAATTTACGAGATAACATGAGTTTTGAAAACTGTGACAAACTTTTTGCAAAACAGTGACAACGGAGTGGTTGCAGTTGAGATTGTGGGGGCTTGGGGGCTAAGGATGAGGAGTGGTCTATTTGGAAGAAGAAGAATTTCCTTTGTGTTTGCAAATTGCTAGCGGTCTCTTTTGGAGGTTTCGAGTTGGAAGCCTTACAATGCATGGAGGTTATCGATGTAAGGTGGAGGCTGGAAGGCCGTGAGTTTCGGATCAAAAAGGACGGAGATCAAGTTCCAGTACGAAGGATAGGGAACTTAAAAGATTGCAATTCTCCCTCAATTATGATCGTAGATTACAGGGAAATCTCTTAGAAGGGATTGGCAGTAGAAGCGATAAGGGGAAGGGTGGCGGTGTGTGGGGAAATTAAGGATGGCTGGAGTGGCTTGCGTTTTGTGTGTGCGTGCGTGGGCGTGCATGTGTGTGTGTAAGGGTGGTGCCCCCTTGGCACCCACTTAATACAATCTCTTCTTATTACTTGTAGAGAAGAAATCAAAAAAGAAAGAGTCCACTTCTATAACTTGTCATTTGTTAACCCTTTTGAATTAATGTACGAAATTTGTATGGGTGACAGATCCTTGTCCTATCTTTTTTCTTTTTGATATATTATGGGCCAAATATGAGTTTAATTTAGTGAGTTTGATGAATTTTACTACCGCTGCGCAAGGTCTGATCATAGTGACTTGTTTTGATCATAACTAGAGCTATACTTAATATAATTGAGTGTTTCAAGTGGAGTTTGAAAATAGGCTCATGGTAGATTATTCCTGGAAACTTCCATGACTTTTAAACAAGTATTTTAGGAGAGAATCGATTTGAAGTTGACGGTGCTGTGCAGAATTTTTGTGCGCCACAAAGGAGTCGACTCATTCTCACAAAGGAATTGACTCAAAAGTGCTGCAAAGGTCGATTTGCCCCTCTGCGCAAATGAGTTTACTCATTCTCACAGAGGAGTTGAGTCAGTTGACTCAAAAGCACTACAAGTTCAAATTCATTCCCGAACTAGATTGAGCCGACACCATGTTTTTTTAAGTCAACCCCTTGCCCTTGGTCGATGGAGTCAACTCAATCTTTCAGTGGACTCATTATCAACTCATTCATGCAGATTTTATTATTATTATTATTTTTAAAATTGTTTTCAAACCTCTCAAATTGTTTTTAATTGACCTTTTCCCCCTAGTTCTACCCTTTTCCCTTTACTTTCCTCTTCCCCCCTCATGTCCTCAAAGTCACATGATCTGGGGTGTGACAGGCTTCCTCCCAAAATCTCAACATTGACTCACAAGTCACAACCACAAAAATGGTACCCTTTAGAAAAGGGACTCACACGCAAAGGGCTCTTTGAAAGGCAAACCGACAAGGCCCCTATCCCTTTGTTAAACCCATCCAATTAATACCATATTTCGCAACATCAACCTGCTTACTCAGTCTTTCTTTTCTTCCCTGAATCTCCAAAATCATTGCCCAGACATCATGCAACCCACTGGAATGATAGTTAGAAGTCCATCTGACTCACCTTATCAAAAGAACATCTATGCACTCCCCTAATCTTATTTAGAGGAAGGAAGGAGAGAGAGAGTTGGCAAGGGAATCCAAATGACAATAAACTGATGGATGGGGATTCCGGTGCCTCATATACTCTGGGCTAAGAGTGAAGGCCATTGCATATCATGATTGTGAAGCGAAGTCCCATATCGCCTGAGTACTAAAGTAATGTCAAGTACATAAGTGTGAGGGCACCCTCATCTCAATAGCTGGCTTTTGGGGTTGAGTTCTACCTAAGACTGTGTAACATGATACCAGAGCCAGAGTACTCAAGGATGGGTAGGGTGCGTGTCGCTAGCCTGCATGCCGCAGGTGCTACCAAGTGAGCATATTGGGCATGAAGGAGGGAGTGAAGTGAAGTCCCACATCGCCCGAGTACTAAAGTAACGTTAAGCATATAAGCGTGAGGCCACCCTCACCTATTAAACTAGCTTTTAGGATGAGTTCTATCCAAGACCGTGTAACATGGTATCAAAGTCAAAGTACTCAAGTGTGTGTAGGGTGCGTGTCATTGGCCTGCACGCCACATGTGCTGCCGAGTGAGCACTTTGGGCGTGAGGGGGGGTGTAAAGCAAAGTCTCACATTGCCTGAGTACTAAAGTAATGTTAAGCATATAAACGTGAGGGCACCCTCAACTCAATAGCTAGCTTTTGGGGTTGAGTTCTACCCAAGGCCGTGTAACAATGATGAGTCCCTCAAATTAGACAATGTCAGCCACAAAAGGCCAGAGCTTAATATGGCAAAGCCCTGGAAGACACCATCCTTAAAGCTTTTAAACCCTCACCAAGTATACAAAGAACAGAGGGAGAGAAGATGCTGCTAGTGACTCACCCTAGAAATACTGGGGAACAAACCTGCTGACACCGTGAGAGATTAAGGACAAGAAGCAATTTACCAAACCATATCTCCAAAACCCATTCTAATCATACAAAAGAAGATTTCTAGAGTCTTGACTAGCACAGTCAAAGAAATCAGCAGAATCAATATTGCAAACCACCGTCAAAGTTCGATGTTATAAACAGGTACCTATGAGCTCCATGAGTGAAGAGATCACACAAACTGCGGCAAACTAGGATGAAAACTTAGGGTCAAAACAACCACATGTGTTTTCCCTGAAATAGATTTGTGCAGTAAAGTTGTTTTAGTCACACAACATAAAGCTTTACGGCACTGTTATGTAAAAAAAGCATTTAATTGTGTTGAATTGCAGCCTGCTGGAAATAGTAAATGGATGTTTCAAAACCTTTTGACAATTTACTCAAGAATAATGACATGGCATGCCAATCTAAAAAAAATTCTTACAAGAATCCCAACAGTACAATTATAAACAGGTACCTATGAGCTCCATGAGTGAAGAGATCACACAAACTGCGGCAAACTAGGATGAAAACTTAGGGTCAAAACAACCACATGTGTTTTCCCTGAAATAGATTTGTGCAGTAAAGTTGTTTTAGTCACACAACATAAAGCTTTACGGCACTGTTATGTAAAAAAAGCATTTAATTGTGTTGAATTGCAGCATGCTGGAAATAGTAAATGGATGTTTCAAAACCTATTGACAATTTACTCAAGAATAATGACATGGCATGCCAATCTAAAAAAAATTCTTACAAGAATCCCAACAGTCCAAATTCCTGAAAAACTAAAGCTTCAAACCCATAGGAAAGCTAGTAGGACATATTTGCAGCTATGTTTGTTTAACATTCAACTTCCTTGCAACATTTTGCTGACACTTCAGATTTTAATGAACCTAATACATACTAAATTAGGAATTCCCTTTCTGCAATAACATGTACGTAAAATGGTATTTATGGTCAAAACACAGAATGAAATAAAGGCCTATGTACAGTTTTTAGTGCTCCAAGAGAATATTTAATAGCTACAATGAGGAAGGGAATTGTAAAGGGGAAAAAAAAATCTCCCTACCTGTACTTGCATGGATGTGCCATATAATAACTCCTCGTGTTCAATAAGGCGCTGATGGAGCACATGGTAGTGATCCATTCCAAAATTCACCACTGGCTCTGTTTGAACTCCCAACCCTGCCAGTTGTGTCACAATATAGGAAGCCATGACTTGTCCAAAAATTGCAGGAATGGTACCAAGAACTGGAATGATCCGAACCCTAAAACCTGGTACAATCTGAAATCAAGATATTCAACATTAGAATTAACTCATAATGTTTTAATAATACGACACAACAACCAAGTGATTTAGAAGAGAAGGTTCAAAGCTATGAAGCACCAACACTTGAAAACAAGTGTTGTAGCCATGTTGGACATAGTGACACGGCGGGGACACGTATGGAACACGCCACATGGTGTGTCCCTTTATTTCAATTTTTTTTTTTTTTTTTTCAGGGGACACGCTAGGGACATATCAATTAGTTTTTTCCCTTAATCTTTGGTGCTTTTGATGGATGATGAATGTTGAACGTTTGTTACTTTTTTATTAGATTTAAATAATGAATAGATAATCCATAAAAAAGATAAACAATAAGAGTCAACTTAAGAGTGAGGTTTTATATATTTCGAATTAGCATTAGATTTTGTTAATTTTGATTGTTTGTGGATGTCATATTAATCTACATAGCAAATATAAATATATAGAAAATCCCCACCATGTCTCTGTTCCTATTCTTTTGAAATCACCATATTTCGTGTTCGCATTCACATCCGTGTCTGTGCTTCTTAGGTTCAAAACAATTTGGGAAAAGGTTCTAATCTTTCTTTCAAAATTGTTAAGGTCAAAATTGTTTATAAATATAAATAAATAGAAGAGAGCAAGAGAGAGAGAGAGAGAGAGAGAGAGAATAGAAATCAATACTTCAAAAGAAAAGGTATATTTATAACAACAGTAGTGATGGATTTGAAAGCGGTGGCAACAAATCTAGATGAGGTAATGATGAGTTTGTAGTTGTAGACGACGATCGATGGAATGCCACCTTCAATACCGTGATCTTTCCTCAAACGGTGCCTTACCTACAAATAGATTTAACTTGGTAAGAAAATTCAACTCATATAATCATGCTATTATCCAAAATTGACTCTAGAGCAAAGTTTTTAAAGGTGCGTAACTTGACATGTTTTACTCCTCATGAGGCGAGGCGTTAACCTCAAGGCATAGAGGCATAAGCATTTCAAATTTTAATTTTTTTAATTTATTAAATATATAAAATATTTTAAATAGCAAAAAATATTAAAACTTAAATATAAAAGTGTAAATACGTTTCTCCTCAAGATGTCAAACATTTAACAGCAGAGAAGAAAGTTTGCTCTCATCGAATGTGAAAATGACATCCTTAGCTTCAGTTTTTGAGCTTCTCACTTGAGTCTTAGCTTTGTGTTTTTTCTTGGTTAATCATTTACTTGATAATTAATTCCCAATGGAATATGGTTACAAAAGAGGATCTTGTTTTTGTTATGTTTAAACCATGTATTAGACTAAGTTCAACAACCCCCCAAGACAATACTCCTCATATGTTTATGCGCAGAAAGTGTACCAGACGCACCTAAGGCACACGCCTTAAACTGTGATGCACAAGCATTTGGGGAGTGTTGCCTAAAAATCACAGCATAGATACGTTTTGTATTAGCCTCGCCTCAAGGCGAACCTCAATAATGCCTTTGAAAACTTTGCTCTACAGAAATTTCATAAGCTAGACCATACGTCAAATATTTAAAATCCTTAAAGAATCAGGAGCATCATCAACATATAATTGGGGTATCCATACCAGTTTCTGAACAATACACTTCGCAAAATATCATATATAATAACAGCTGTTTGACAAAAATTGAAGGAAATGGCTAGTAGTTTTAAAAATATGTATTTGAGAGCAAGCAATCTATGAAGAAAAAAATGTATATCAACTCAATGCTACGAGAGATATTATAGGGTTTTAAATGAAGTAAAATGACAAAATCAAATGTTTAAAAATGAAGGTTCCATATGGAACAATGTTCCAAATAGAGAAAACCTAAAATACAAACGTAAGTCCACAAGAACAAAGAGATAGAAAAGGAGTATTACTGCTCGAGATAGTGGGTCATTTGTTGACTCTCTCAAATCAGCCACACGGATTCTTGTTGGGTCTGCTCTTGCACCAGCTCCTGTTGCAGACAGAACTCTCAAACCCCTACGTACACATGCAGCAAGAAGTGCCACCTATTACATATAATGAAGCAAGAACTTTTAAAATTGAAAAGTAAAACCATCCATCTTAATCGCACTTATTTGAACACATGAATGATTATTTAACAATTGTAAAGTGCGTGACATATAGTATTTTTCTGCTGAAAGCTAAACTTGCACATCCTCCAACCCACCACCTGCATAGTTATTTGAAGTGAAGTCCCACATCGCCTGAGTATTAGAGTAATGCTAAGCATACAAGTATGAGGCCCTCACAGTTATATGCTAAACATTAATCCAGTACTCAGGTGATGTGCGAATTCTCTTCACAAGCTAAATGCAAAAGCAAAAAGAATCTGCAAGTGCAATCTTTTCCAAATAACAAGAGGAATGGTTTGTGTTAGCATGTAAGCTTGCTCAAACATGTGCATGTGAACATATGTGCAATATATTCACACATGAACTCACATCAGTAAGCTATTTGGGCCCAAATGTCCCTATACTTCTGAACAGAAGTAAGGATTGGTAGCTTCTGTAAAAGCTAGTACTAAATTAATAAAAGCACAAATAACAATAATCATTGCTACCAAATAAAATGTGCTAAAAAAGTATACCAATTCCATAAACAAGTTGAATACCTTTGTGTCAATGTTATCAATGCAGTCCAGTACAAAATCAGGGTGGCCAGAAAGAATTTCTTCTTCAGAGGATGTATCATACAATAGTACTTTTGCATCAACATGGCATTCTGGGAAAATTGATGAGAAATGCTTCTTCAGGCAATGGGCCTTGGGAATACCAACATCCTCTCTTATTGCAACAGCATGTCGATTAAGTGATGAAAGAGACACCTGCTCATGTAGATCACAGAATGTTATTAGTATTTTACAAAAATATATAAATATGTAAAAACAAAGAAAAGTAAACATCAAACACATTCTCCCATTATGCATGCTTCTTAAAACAAACCCATTGATCACATACATCATGCATAAAATTAACAAAAGAAAGGCCGGAAACACTGTAGGATTGATCACACATAGTCACATCACAAATCTATACAGATGGAATAAGACTCCAAAAGTGATGTATAAACCAACAAAAATAGGTAATCCAGAACAGAAGACAATATGAGTACAGAAATATTAAGATGCTGGGCTTCACATGAAGATACCTGGTCAAAATCCACAAGGAGGAGCCTACCGACTCCAGATCTCAGTAGCATAGATGCCGCATGACTCCCAACCCCTCCAAGACCAATAACAACAACATATGATGCAGACACTTTCTGTTGGGATTCAATGCCAAAGAACTGAATATTCCTAATAACATAATAAAATTCGTAAGCTATGCTTGAAATGTGGTCATAAAACAAAATTAAACGATACCAAATTCAAACAGGGAAAAAGGAAAATTAACATATTCAAACCTACACCCCTCAACAAACAGACACTTATCTGTTTCTAATATATCCATGCATTCATAAGCGTGTAAATAAATAAAAGTAATACAAAGGTCTACAACCTCTAGCTATGATTTCAATCTTTCAAGCTTTTGACAAAACATCTTTCCTTTTTTCTATTGTCAAGAAAATAAAAACAGGCAATGTTACCAAACACAAACTTAGAAATCCATTAGGTAGCACTGACCTTTTCTATAGGCAGGTATGAACACAAAACACTAGAATTCTTGCTCTCTTAGAAGCCTTTGGCTAATCTTCAACCGTGTAGCTACATTATTGTTAGATTGAGATTGATTCTAAGATTGTGATTTGGTTGGTGAGGTAGTTTGTGGGTTTACGTCATCACAATCAACTTTTGAGAGATATTATTGACTATGACAGATTGTCAACAACAAGGCTGTTGATAAAATGGCTTCCTAGGCCAACCAATGATCAAGCAAATGCATTAGTTAAGTTCATAGAACCTACAATGAGGCCAATTAGGGGTCATTTTAACCTTTTTAACCATTCATCATGGGCATTTTGACTTGTAGTCTTCCTTCTGTGTTATTTTTTGGTTCTGTTATTCTTCTTCTATACAAGTGCTTTTTGAGGCAGACTTTATGTTTTGATCTTCAAGATCTTACCACTCTTCTTCCCCATTATGTTTAAATTCTCATATCTTATACTCAAAAATACATTCAAAAAATTAGTTGGATGAAAAAACTTTACTGTCACTTCCTTGTGTCCTTTTCTCCTTTCTTTACCTTCTTGGCTGACCTACGTGGCAAATACACAGCAACTAAAAGAACAACAAAACTGTGAAATGCAAAAGAAGAGTTTAACACATGGAATGCTTTTCTGGATTAGTCCCATCACTACTAACAATTGCAGCTTCTAACTTGTTTTCCGTCAAATATTTCATATGAGAAAGTGTTGGTCACACTTCCTTGCATCCATTTCTCTTCCCATCCCTCTTTCTTCCCTACATGGAAAATACCTACCAACTTTAAGAGCAATAAAATTCTGAAATGCAAAATATATTCACATATAGAATACTTGCATAGATCATCCCATCACTCCAAACAAGGTAAGCTTTTAACATTTTTTGCATTCAACTTATCTAGGGCATCAAACGTAGTACCTGGTAAGTTGTTCTGAAACTATCTCATCTTTTAGCAGGTCTACATTAGGTCTCTCGTGGTTCTGATTCCCACAAACGTCGTGGCCTTTGACAGCTCTATCAGGTATAAATCCTTTACCTGTCAACAAGGACTATAAGAATCATAAGCAACATTGATCATTTTCTAAAGTTTCATTGAACATTCTTTATTCACAAAATTATAAAATCTCCATGCACGCATGTTCTCAACATCTGGAGTGTATATGTTTTGGGTGCAATTTCTGCTCTTATAGCTTATGAGGCAGAAATACTTTCAATAAATTGAAAAAAGTTGATTACCTCAAAGCTATGAAGCACGGACACTGACACGCACACGGATACGGACACGGGACACGGCAATTTCCAAAAAATGGGGACACGGACACGACAGGGGACACGGCGATTTTTTTTTTATATATATTTTTATGTGTTATGTATATTCGTATTACATTCATTCTAAATCAAAATTAACAAACACTAATATAGTACCATTAATTCAATAAATATAAGAGAAGCAAAAGATTCAACATCCAACAATAAATATAAGGGGAAAACATCCAACATCTAACATCCAACAATATTTTTCACAAAAACATTAAATAAGAGACACAGAAGAAGAAAAAAAAGAAAAAAAAAGAAAAGAAGTAGGCCTTTCAAAACTGCAAAAGATTCAACATCCAACATCCAACATTAAATATAAGGGGAAAACATCCAACATCTAACATCCAACAATATTCTTCACAAAAACACTAAATAAGAGACAAAGAAGAAGAAAAAAAAGAAAAAAAAAGAAAAGAAGTAGGCCTTTCAAAACTTCAAGTAGATCCAATTTCTTGCACGTCTTCATCATCATTAGCATCACCACCTTTTTCTTCGTTTGCACCTCCATGATCTGTAAACAACACAACCTCCATCTCAGGTTCATCAAGTGACAGATTTGCAACCTCAAGCATCCCAACATCATTAAATGAATCAAATGTGCCGCCCGCAATGTCCCATAACTTGGTCTCTCCTTCAAGGTATTGTGGGGTTCTCCTTGATAAAAGACGGAGGTTGCTATGTACAAAAACCAAGTCCTCTGCACGTTGGGGTGTCATCTTGTTTCTTCTCATTGAATGGATAAAAGAGTATATACTCCAATTCTTCTCAGCACATAATGAAGAAGAAGGTTGCACAAGTAGCCTTAAAGCCAAAGATTGAAGAGTGGGTGCAGATGCACCATGAACAACCCACCAACTATGAGGATCCATATCACATCTATCTCCAATGGAATCAATGTCAGCAAATGGCCCCTCTTTTGTTGAGAACTTAGCATACTCCAAATTTGCTTTAGTGCGCTCTATTAGATCATCAAAGAACCTTTTCAAGTACTTTTTTCTCTCAAGACAAACCTCCTCATCCCTATGTGGGGGAACTCGGCTTGGATCCTCATGAAACCACACATCACTATAATACCTAAAATGAAAAAAAAGTACTACTCATTATAAATGTGAGAGAATAATATTAAACTTAAATTAATAAAAATAGTAAATCGTGTTGTAATCACCTTGGATTCAATGAGTGTGCCAAGCAATGAAGTGGTGTGTTGTTCTTGTTCCACCGGTCTACAAGAATCTGATGTACTACATCATAGAATGTAGACTCATCTTCTAGTCACTTTTCTTCATGCTTATATATCACCATCTTCACTTTTTCTATCATTGTATCCCACATGTTATATACTAAGTGAAGAGAAGGTCTATCGGTGTCACAAACTCTAATCATGTCATAAATAGGAGCAGTAAAGGAAAGTATGTAGTCAACTTGATCCCACCAAAAGTCATCCAATAACTTATCCTTCACAAACTTGGCCTTGCCAATATCATCATCCCTATAACAACTCCATTTGTCACTGATTACCATTGTTTGGAGACCTTGCTTTATCAACTTGACCCTCTTAAGCGTGACAATGGAAGAAGCAAAGCATGTCTCGGCAACTAAAAGAAGCTTCAAACTCACAAACTCATTGTACATTGCCAACCTCATGGAATGATTACAAATAAAATTCTTGATCATCATCACATCACCCACAATCTCACTAATCCAATTACACTCTTCAAATGCAATTGAATTATTTTCCACATTCTTGGCAGCACAAATATCATTGAGGGTGTGCACAGCACAAGGAGTCCAAAAGATGTGAGGAAATTGTGCTTCAATTAGGTGCCCCATTGCCTTGCAATTTGCGGCATTATCTGTAATGACTTGAACCACATTTTTAGGCCCAACCTCCATAATTACTTTCTTCATCAAGTTAGAAATAAAATATTTGTCCTTTGTTTCCCCTGAACAATCAACCGCTTTAAGAAACATAGGCCCACCTCCGGTAACAACCATAAAATTTATTAATGGCCTTCGTTGGGAATCACTCCATCCATCACTGACTATACTCACCCCCTTCTCTCTCCATGAGCCTCGAATAGGATCTAACAACCTATCAATGTTTATCCTTCCTTTTTGAAGCAATGTAGTTCTCAACATGTTATACCCAGGTGGTACATATCCTTGTATGTTGTTATTTGCAGCAAAAGTAAATGCACTAGCATAGTAAGGATTTCTTGCCAAATGAAATGGCAAGCCTGCTGAATAAAACATTCTAGCTATCTCACTATTTAGTCGTTCTCGAGCCCCAATGTTAAATGCCTTCATAACAGGGTTACTACTACTTCCACTCCCTAAAGCAGTTGACCTCTTCCTTTTTGATCCATATATCTCCTCTGGTTCATTAAAACATAAACCTAATGATGCACTTGAACAAGGAGGAGGCAATGGGACTTTCTTCAACCTAGAGTTTTTCAATTTCAACTCTGCTTCTGCAATTGCTCTCTCAAAATCAGCTTTATTCTTACTTGTTACTTTTGGACACACTTCTATCCCCTGATTTTTTATTTGCATCAAATAAGCTTTTACCCTAGTGTATGAACCTTTACGTGTAACCCGACAATAGTTACATTGAAAAGTATAATTCCCCCCCTTTGCACCAGATTTTTCTAATCTAGTCACATATTTCCACAGTGGCTTATCATCTTCAGCATCAAAGGCAGATGGTGTGTTATTGGCAGAATTTGAACAAGACATTTTTCCTATAAATTGACATTAACATTAGAAGGATAAATAAAAAAACAAAAAAAAAGAGCTTAAATAGAATTTAAATAAAACAGAATTTAAACATATAATTAAAAAAAACAGTCTCATCTAAATAAAGAGTTTAAATAAAAAAACAGAATTTAAATACAGTTTTATATATATACATATATATAAACATATAATTAAAAAAAAAGAAAGTTCTTACATATATATATATATATATATAAACGTATAAACAAATAAAAATAAAAATAAAAATAAAAAAGAGTCTTACATATAATATATATCAAAATAAAAAAATAAAAAAAAGTCTATTACATATAACATATATAAACGTAAAAAAAAAATAAAAATAAAAATAAAAATCAGCCTCATCTCAGTCGAAAGCTGAGAGAGAGAGAGAGCGAGAGAGGAGACAGGCGAAAGAGAGAGAGCGAGAGACGCAGAGAGAGGGGCTTACCTTCGAAGACGACTGGATCGACTGAAATAGAGACTGAGACGACTGGATCAGAGGTCTTCGATCGACGTCGGAGGGCTTCGATTGACGTCGGAGGGCTGCAACTGAGAGACAAAGCTTCGATCGACTTCAGAGGGCTTCGACTGAGAGAGAGGGCTTCGACTGAGCGAGAGAAGGTCTTCGCAGGTCTAATTTTACTCCTTTACTCCTCAGTTGTTCGATTAGGCTTTGCCCGTTGTTTTTCTTCTTTTTTTTTTATTTTATAAATATTATACTTTGACCCCAAATAAATATAAAAAATTCAAAAACGAGCCCTGCCGTGTCCCATGGCGTGCCCAGAAATGGACACGCGTGTCCCCGCCGTGTCCCCTTCCAAAAAATCATTAAATTAAAGGAACACGCCATCTAGCTTGTCCCGTACGTGTCCACGGCGTGTCCGCGTGTCGGACACTGCTACGGCATCAATTTTGGAGTGTCCATGCTTCATAGCCTCAAAGTTAGGAGAGGGTGCTTTCAGTTTCTGCTATCCACTTTTAGGGTTGTTTTGGGAAGTGGTTATTTTAGTTAACTTCTTGGCTTTTTACGGAAAGGCATGCAAAAAAGTAGAGAGAAGAGTTGACTTTTTTGTAGTGACTTTTTGACTTTTTAACTATTTTAGGTGGTTCCCTTAGCTTTAGAAAAGTTACACCAAACAAACCCAATATATTGTCGATGTTTCTAACCCTCTCACTAACCTTGTCACCCACCCCACCACGAAAACAACAAAAGAACTATCCTTCTTTCTTTTGATAGTCTTACAAAAGAACTAACTGCAAGTAAACTTCCTTTTGCCTAATATTGGTAGCACCATGATAAATAAAAAAATAAAAATAAAAAAAGTGAATAACAGTACAACAAAACCAGAAGCATGCAGTAATACAAACAGCATTCTGTTAAGTATACGTTTAGAAATATGAAAGTAAAGAACTTACCTTCTGAATCAATTACATTCCTACTGGGTTGGCTTGCAACACTTCTGCAAAATACACATCGACATTGCACTAAGCTCCACTAAAAGCCCAGAAAGAGAGAGAACAGCAATGAAAAATTAACAAATAGTATATCAGCATAAAGCCATGGTTCATTTTCCTTTTTTCATTTCTGTGATAGATCGCTAAGATGATTCTGAAAAATAAGAAAACCCAAAAAAATTATTGAGCCCACTGACAAACTGACACCTATTATTGTTTGGTCAGGTGAACTGAGTTTTTTTTTTTTTTTTTCAACTTCTGCAATCGTCCCTTTTGGTTTTCATTGGAAAACGAAAGAACATAAAACAGAATTCCACCAATTCGATATCGTTTCACTCCCTCCCTTTTTTCTCGGGAAACAAACGCAATAGCGTATTTGATCATACATAGTATTGAAAAGAGTAGACTGACAGAAATGAAATGGATAAAAACAACAATGTATATTTTAACCTGGTGATGAGCCTAAAGAGAGCTATCGTGGTGACAGAACCCAACAGAGCTCCAGCTCCAACCAAAGCCAAACACTTCATTCGCTCTTCCATTTCTATGGCCAACGCGGCGGCTCGTACAAGGCAAGGTTCGATCGCGAGGGCTTTGGGTATATGTCCGATGCTATGTTCCAAACCAAATTTTACGCTCCGTTGGATGGAAGGGTTCGGTGAATATAAGAGTAGCAATAGGGGGTTTTTCCACAAATTCTGTGGCTTAAATAGTCCGAAACTGTTAAAACGACGTTTTGCGTCGTTTTGGGTGTTTTGAACGACGTCGTTTTGCGTTGTTTTTTGGTGTTTTGAGCCATTTGAGCCACAGAATTTGTGGCCCCCTAACATTGCTATTAAGCTTATTTTGTATCTTAATTTCCAAACTAGACCTAGTTTGAACGGAATTCCTAAACTAGGCTAAAGTTTTATTACAAATCGCGCTTTCACTGTTTGGAGCCTAAATTGTGATGAATAATGAAAGCGCTATTGCAAACCACGCTTTTAATTAAGAAAATATGATTGCAAATCACGCTTTTAACATAAAATTTTTTCCCGAATAAACGCTATTTGAAATAGCGCTTTCTGTGGAAATTTTTTTTCTAAAAAAAACGCTATTCTAAATAGCGCTTTCTGTAGTTTTTTGTGAGGAAAATGCTATTTGGATTAGCGCTTTCACTGTTGATAACTACCAGCGCGGATTGAAACCACGCTTTCACTATTCATTTATCTATTTATTTATTTATTTTTTAATATTTTATTTTATTTTCCTGTTCTCATTGTTTTGGTGATAATGTAATTCATAAATTTTTTTTAGCTTTACTAAAGCCATTGTCATGTTAAATTTTTTTTTTCTTTCGTCTTTGTTTTGGTTTAGAAGGTGTAATTTAGAAATTTTAATTTTTACATAATATGGAAAAAAATCTCTTCTTTTCATATATTAATTTGTGTTACATCATATGAGAAAAGCCTCTTCTTTATATATTAATTTTACATAATATTTTGAACTAATTACCAAACATTTGGGAATTAAGCCAATTTATATATCATTCAAATTTTTATGGGAAAAGCCTCTTTTCATATATTAACTTTACATAATATTTTTCATATATATAATTTTAAAATCATGTTCATTTAGATATTATTAAGCCAATCATGTTCATTTACAAAATTCATGCTGTCACTGTTCACTACAGTAAGCACGGATTGAAACCACGCTTTCACTGTTCATTTAAATTATATTTAATTTTTTTTGTAATTTTTTTTTTGTTGTCATTATTTTGGTGATAATGTAATTCATAAATTTTTTTTTGGCTTTACTGAAGCCGTTCTCATGTCAAATTTTTTTTTTCTTTTGTCTTTGTTTTGGTTTAGAAAGTGTAATTCAGAAATTTTTTTTGTCTTTACTAAAGCCGTTTTCATGTAAATTTTTTTTGTTTATTGTTTTGTGTTTGTTTTGGGTTAGAAGGTGATAATGTAATTAATAAATTTTTTTTTGCTTTACTAAAGCCGTTTTCATGTAAAAAAAAATTTTCTTTTGTCTTTGTTTTGGGTTAGAAGGTGTTATTTAGAAAATTATTTTGGCTTTACTAAAACCGTTTTCATTTAAATATATATATTTATTCTTTTGTCTTTGTTTTGGGTTACAAGGTGAGCATGTAATTCAGAAAACCAGTTTAGTAAAACCGTTTTGTACTCGTTTTCATTAAAAAAATAAAATTTTTTCTTTCGTCTTTGTTTTGGGTTATAAGGTGACATGCATGTTCTACAGTCCGAAGCACACCCACACACTGTGCAGTTCGACGAGCAACGACGAAGGGTGAGACGCGAAGAGCACTGCGGAGTACACCAAGAAGACGAAGGCCACCGCGAGAGCTCCTAAAATAAATTTTGTCAACATTTTTGTAATAAAACTTAATACATAATATACGAAGTCACTAATTTACTAAATACTCATACAGGCATGAAAACAACATAACTGAAGTTGCAAATGTAATAGTTTTCAGTTACATAGGTAGTACAGACATAATTCTCCCACAAAAATACATTCTGGACACCATGAACTGAACACACATTACATACATCCTGGACATCCTGAACTGAACACACAATACATAAACATAACAGTTAGACAGACAAACACCTAATTCATGACCTAATATTGCATATTAATAGCCGCAACATTTGATAGACACAATACATAAACATAAACATAAACATAACATATCATAACAGTTATTCAACACATGAATTTCTAACATTTACGTTTCATTTGGGAAGATTGGTTGGGTTGGGTTGGGTTTGGTTAGGTTGGGTTGGGTTGGGTTTGAGACTATTTTAGTCACAAAAAGACAAAATAGACTTTTTAGTCCAATAAGACAAAATATTACATCCAACTTATAATTATTAAATTCTTTATCTCACACAAAGTCAAAAAAATCAAAATACTCTTTCTAAAAAAAAATTTTTAACTCCAAATTAAAATAATTAAAAAATCTAAAAATTAACCCAATTCTCAAACCAATCCTAGGAGTCACCTTCAAGATGAACATCAAGAAACCCCAGCTCCCTTCCAAATTGTAAGGCTTTAAACGCACCAATAGGGGCTTTTTCCCAAAATAAGCCTATTTTACATTTTATTTCCTAAACTAGGCCAACTTCTAAGGAAATTCCCAAAATAAGCTGAAGCGCCATTCCCATTCGCGCTTTTACTGTGAGGAGGTTGAAATTGGATGAACAGTGTAATCGCTATTCCAATTAGCGAGTTTGATTAAGAAAACGCTGTTGCAAATAGCGCTTCTAAACAAAACACT